TGTTGAACATTTGAGCTCTTTTTAATTTTACGTTTTACAATCTCTGACCAGTCAGATTGCTTGCTCGATTCGGTCTTGCAATCGGATTGCTGCTTTCTTTCTACTTTTGGGCTATTGTTAATAGCCGCATCATTTACTATTTCTCGGAAGATGTTTCTTTCTTCAATAAATAGTTCTTCTAATTTTTTTAACTTTTCGTCAAGAATTGACTCAAATTTAGCTTTTTTTGAGCTTGGAATTTTAAAAAGGTTGAGAGCAGCATACTGAGGCAATTTGCTTTCAATTTTGTTGCTCAGAATTGTTTTTATTGTTAGTATTAAATCACTAACCTTGTCCTTTTTAGAGTTTCCAGAACTGTTTGGCTTTATTTTATCATCTTTTTCTAGATTTAACGCATCTAGATCGCTGGTAAGTATTTTTTTTGCTATTCTAATATCTTCACAATTGTAGAAATCCATTATTTCGTAAATGAATTCCGCATCGTCAATTTTGTCAGAATTATTAAATAAATAACACAATAACTCGTTAATGCAAACCGCTCGCGACATCTTACCGGATGTATGTATGTATGTTAAAACCAAATCATTGACGAATGACACCAAAAGCCAAGCGTCTGACTAAATTTGATTTTATTTGCTATAACGTCACTCAACCCCGTCGGCATTCAACTCCACATTTTCCAACACACAGACGCGCAAAAACCGCTGCAGAATGCACGAGATATTATTCATAGCAAAAAAATATTCCCTACTATCGCCTGACCTAATACTGATATTTTTACAAATCCGATTGAAAAACCCGGAGGTGATACGGTCCATGGGGCCGAGGACCTCGATACAAATCGGTAAAAACTCCATCGAGGGGAGAGCTCCGTCGTACTTTTTGATCTTCTCGTCAGATGCCCTGGTTGCAGCCAAACCGCTTTCTTTGCTAGTAAGCTGGACGTAGCGCTCAGCAAAGGTGCCCGGAACGGTAACGTCCCACGCCAAGCACCTGCCGGCTCTCCAAGGGATCAAGGTACACCCGTCAGGGCGCTTACCGTCGTGCGCCGCAATGCCCGACGGTTCCTTTAAAACCGGAATTGAGGCCTTGGAGAAAAGTCGGCACACAAAATCGTTTATGGCTGAATGTCGCTGCTGGCGACCTCCGCCCAAACGACAAACAAGACCATGATGGCCAAGTTCATCCGCCTCCGCGCCGCACCTGCATGTATATCGACTCTGAACGGCCAACCCCAGACGGAAGCCAATGGCTGTCCTGACCGTTTCGTCGTCCAATCTGGTACCCACCGACGTATTGGGCAAAGATCTCAGCCAGCCGCAACTCGCCTCGCTGGAAACTGCCAGCAAGCGAGCTGAGGTCGCCGAGTCAGGGCTTGAGGAAAGCAACTCTTTGAATGTGCGTTTATATGCTTCCTCCAAAATGTTGCCCTGGGAAAGGTCTGTTGGTTGGATTGGAGTCGGTGGGGTACAGTGCAGGCTACTAAATTGCCGAAGAAGGGCAGACTGTAGGTCAAGCGTGGCAGATGCGGAAGATTTATAAACAATTGGTGCAAGCTGAACCACGCTTAGTAACCCCAGTCCCCCAAATCGTACCGGCAGCTGAGCCTGAGACCAACCCTTGTCGGTAATATCGACGTTACATATGCT